GACAAGTTTTACTTTGATTTTCATTAATTAAACATTCCCTAAAAGGTTCATGACAAAGCTCAACAAACTTGAGCTGCTGCCAGGTAACTAGTATTTCAATATCCCACTCTGAAAACCAAAATTCATCTTTCCGATCAGTTGCCCCAAGCCAACTGAAAACGCTTTGTTGGTAGCCTATGAGCAAGCACTCCGGGAGATACAGGGGTGGGGTAACCTATAACTTACGTTATAGGTTATGTGCATAATAAGCAAACTCGGAGTAATACGTTATATTACGTAACGTTGACGCTCCAAACAGTTCCTGAATAATCAAAGGAAGGCTTACTTTACTCAACAAAACTATTGTAACAAAGTCAAAACAAGATGAAATTCTGATGGAAACGTCACGGAATACCACAACAATTTTCAACGGGATGCAAAACGGTCAACAGACTCTCAACAATATCGGACACAACAGACTCATTATACTCCGGCCATGGATTGAAGAATACATCCCAAAGATAAAGCAAGGCCAATCCTAGAAGTTGACCAATATTCAGTTGAAGATATGCTCTGGTCGTAAAAACATTTCAACTACAAGGCCAACTACCATAACAGAGAGCAACGACGAAAGGTTTATTTTGGCAATGACGTTGAAAAGAACAAGCAAAAGATGCCCCAACTTTACTTTACGGCTGTAATTAACGAAATGACCAATCAAGTATCTGTATTAAAAAAGTAAGCCAAGCACTCAAGAACATCTAGAGTCGCACGTCGTACAAAAGGTGCTATGATCGAAGCTAATGAATGTGCAGAGCTGCTTTGTCAGTTCATATTAATTGAAATCATTGACGATAAGGAAAATGACTTGCACCGAAAGTTACCAGTAAAATTGCCAAGAAATGGATAATGAAAATGCCTTTAGAGAACAACGCTATTGGAGAGAAACTGCTGTTTATAGAAGTTACATATAATGCTAAATCTTTAATCGTAAGAATCAAGCTTACAAAAAGAACAAATCAAAACTCATTTGCCATCGTGTTGACTTCAAAGGTATTGATTTCCTTGTGTGTTTGATATTATGTTCACTGGATACGGAATCAATGACACTTGTTATACCGATCATTTTATAGATACTTCAGTATTGTTTATATTGCATCATTTACCTTTTGTTTAAGAAGCAGGACATTTGTAAGGACCTTTTAAAAGTTCTGTCATACTGATGTAACGTATAATAAACGTAGTTAACGGGTTTGCCGATCATTCACTTACAAATCTCGAATTGAGCTCACGTTAAGCAAGGTTTAACCCAGTTTCACAGACTCACAATAGCATCATGGCCTATCTCTCTGTCATCGCCTTGGCCGACGGATTTCAGCATGCTGACGAGCCGTTCTTTTTCAAGGCCCTCGCCTTGGGTGACGTGGCCACCAAAACCTATCGCATCCGCCAGTTCGATTCGACTCCACTACTAACCAGCTCCGCCACTGCTATCCAAACTTATAGATACCAGTCACATCTCCATGGTTGGGACCTCCACTCCACCGGTCTGCCTCAGTGTGCAGTGGAAACCTGCCTCCTTTCCTTCCTCCAGGAGTTCATCTTGGACGTTTTTGAGGGCAACCAGCCTGTTCCCGAGACAATCACCATTTGGGTGAAGGGAAGACACCAAATGGCCCTATTCGGTCGACTAGTGGAGTCTTTGCCTTGTCTCGGTATAGCCCTTCTTGTCCGGGACTTAGAGAACATTTCCTGCCCACCGGCAAAACAGTTACTTCAACTCCATGACAATAAGGCAACCACCAGAGACAAAATCCAAGCATATCTCGACTGGATGTCCGAACAAAACCTCGAATAGACATTGGTTTTCAGAACTTTTACGTGTTTCATTTTCACTTCGCCGAGGACGGCTCAAACTTAAGGTCGGAGGAATGTTAGGAAGTAAATTCAAGTAATAAGTAATCTTTGATTTCAATAGGGTTTTACTATAGTGGCGTTTGAAGTTAATGATTTTTAAAGTTTTAGCTTTCAAAGTTTTCGCTTGATATAGCTTTGCTGCTTTTCGCTTTGTTTTACGAATCGCTTTAGCAATAATATTTTGTACAAGAACACTTTATTGATTTACATTTCGACGGCTCGTGCCATTTTATTGTACGTTTGATTACTTAGTGTTCGTTAACGCAATAATTCTAGAAAAAGCAAACAGTGTTTACAGCAGTAAGTAGTCGGCGTTTCTTCTTGTTTGAACACACGCTAGCTGGCCTTGCAATTTCATTCATATTGTAAAATATTGTACATAAATGCTGTTTCGCTGACCTAGCAAACTTAGCTAACTTTTGTTCCAGTACTTTTACTTTTTAAAAATAGCAACGCAAACAAGCTATAACTACCTCTTTTATTTCATTTTCATTTACTTGTAAATGATTTCTGTTTACACATCTATTGTACTCTTTTGTTTTAAATGGTTATTCATCAAATCATATACAAGTAAGTTGCTTGAACTGATTTTTCGATTACATAGCCGATTACATTTGTAAGCTAAGTTACGCTACGTCTACAAGAATAAATCTGTTGGAACCAAAGTTCAGTTTGCCTTTGCTATACCAGTTATAGTGGTTTGATCCCGGACCTCAAGAGAGCTGACGTCTCTTTCCCGCAAGCGAGTTGCAATTGAGTCTAGTTTTCCCTAGCTAATTGACAGTTAAAGCGCGAAGTTCCCGTTCGGTGTTCAGATCGTTCGAAAGTGGAAAAACCTCCCGTCACATGTAAGACCAAAAGACTTAATAACCAGAAGACTTCAGATCTAAAGGTACATCAGTAACATTTCGTTTTCATTATTATTTACTAGCGAAAAAACATCATACATTATTAAGACAATGCTGATAAAAAAAAAAACAGCACAATCCCACTTCTTTTTTCCTGCATATATGTATTTGCAAAATACAGAAAACGATTTCATATGAGTAGTACTTTTTGGTGCCGTAAGTGCTCAAAGCCGTTTATCAATTCAACAGATTGGGTAGATAACTAATAAAATTTTATTCGTCACTGCAAAACTTACGTAATCACAGCAAGTGAAAGCGCTAAATCTTAAACAAGGAAATTGTTCTACTGACTGTCGCTTCTCATTTTTACTTTAGTATGAAGACTTAAGATAATTTTTCACGCTTCTTTTCTATAGCTAATACTCTACAGGGGAAATATGCAAGTTATTTTCTGAGATTCTTATTGATACATAGATTAAGTCTATTTTGATCTGGTTAGTCGGCAATGTATTGAGAAAATCGTTTGCCTCTGTTCACAACCGCATTAAGAAAAATAAAGCTTAATAACACTGTACACGAGTGAACTGAAACTTTAAGGAATGTTGCATTCTACCAAAAAAAACGCGAAAAAGTGTCAACAAACCAATCAAAATTTACAACAAGAGAGATAAACCCATTTTTTATTACATGTTTCGTAGTGTCATGGTATGTGACAGGTTATGTTTACGCTTTTCGCCGTAGTCATGGCAAGTAACCAGAGTTGCGATTATAGTGGCAAACTAAAAAAATGCCAGTCACACTTACCATACGGTTTACTGTGGTAAACTTGCCACTTAGTTAACTTTCTCCATAATGTAATGTGATGTGAACCAGTATCACTAAATAAATGACCGGTTTATAATTTACGACCAAAATGCTTGTAAATATAAGAACATATCTTTCAAAGATACTGATATTCCTGCTACCATTACTCTAAATTCACTGTGAAAGGGGACAGATTCTTATCCTACTAACTGTCGCCTTACAATTAAAACCGTTCAACAACACTAGTTTATTGTTAAATGTAACATGTGACGTTTGCCTGTTTTGTTATAAACCTGCGAAAACTTCAGCCTTCTAAAAAGTGAACTCTAATGCATTTCCAATGCCATTGTCTATACAACTACATGAATGGGGAGTGAACAACGCAGTAATCCGTCCATGTTTTTCCAAGGCCATTTTTATTAACAAAGTCATCTTCTACGTAGGAGAAACAAGAAACCATTCTACCCGATTAAATTGTATACCTGCTTAACAAAACGTTTCACTTATCTTTGAAAAATATATCTAAATACTGTAAAGTCACTGTGATAGGGGACAGATTCTTATCCTACCAACTGTCGCCTTACAAATAAAACCGTTGAACAACACTAGGGTTAAGTGTAACATGTGACGTTTGCCTGTTTTGTTATAAACCCGCGAAAACTTCAGCCTTCTAAAAAGTGAACTCTAATGCATTTCCAATGCCATTGTCTATACAACTACATGGATGGGGGGTGAACAACGCAGTAATCCGTCCATGTTTTTCCAAGGCCATTTTTATTAACAAAGTAATCTTCTACGTAGGAGAAACAAGAAACCATTCTACCCGATTAAATTGTATACCTGCTTAACAAAACGTTTCACTTATCTTTGAAAAATATATCTTCTAGCATTACTCTTTTAACCTTGCATTTACTTAAAAGGGACGAGATTCCTATCGTAAAAAATGTTGCATTTAATCTATTGTAATCTACCTTGTAAAATCATAGACCAATCAGAAATTTTACAAAGCACGTGCCTATTTTCTAGGAGGTACGCAAAAATAAAACATATGCAGATTACAGTACAAATTCTTGGCAGTCGAGTCTTGCAGATTTACATAGTAAGATGTCGACCCCTACATTGCCAAACTCTACTAAGAATCCTACAACGTCGACATCTACTCCTCGTACAGCGCAAAAATCCACTCCTAAATCCTCAAAATCTACGCCAACAGAGCAAGCTGCTGGACCTAATACTTCGAAACTGAAGCCTACTTTACCATCGCCAAAATCTACTCCGCCATCTACTCCTACATCGCTAAAATCTACGACAACAGAGCCAGCTGCTGGACCTAATGCTTCGGCAAAGGCTACTCCACCGGCACCGCCAAGTCCTATTCCAGAAACGACAGAGTCTCCTCCAACGCCGTTGCAATCTCAAACCACTTCGAAAACGCTTCTTTTCAAAAGGAAAAGCGATTCTTCAAATGATGGCTTCAACGCTAAAGTTTTAATCTTGGAAGAAACACTGATAGGGTACGTCCACAACCTATCACACCCAAGACGCAATAGAGGGAACACTATGAATTACTGCACCTTTGTTCTGCAGACTTCAGCCCAAGAGACACAAGAAGCGCTACTCTATTCAACGCACAAGAGACCACTATTACTAGAGAGTCAGAATAATCATACCCCTGTGAAACTGAAGCACTTCACCTACACTGAAGACAGGGACAAAATCATCGTCAACGATATGACAAACATTGCAATCCCTCAACAGTGCGAGTACTCATTTCAGTACGACGAGTCCACTCTACTCCAGAGTGAACTGATCACCATCTTAGACATCCTAAACACACGCAGAGAATGGGATGTTGTTACTGTACGTGGAAAGATATTGAATGTGAAGGATCAACGTCAAGTGGGAAGTCCTCGCAAGCGACTTAAATTGATGGAGGCAGTACTTGGCGACGTCAGTGCTACAATTCCTCTAGATCTTTGGGAATCGCAAATTGACAAAGTACAACAAGGTAAGTTGATAAAAGTTTATATTTAATAACCAGTTTCCAAACGTAGTTTCCGTTATGTGTTTTTCTTAATTCAAATAATTTTTTGTNTCAAATGATGGCTTCAACGCTAAAGTTTTAATCTTGGAAGAAACACTGATAGGGTACGTCCACAACCTATCACACCCAAGACGCAATAGAGGGAACACTATGAATTACTGCACCTTTGTTCTGCAGACTTCAGCCCAAGAGACACAAGAAGCGCTACTCTATTCAACGCACAAGAGACCACTATTACTAGAGAGTCAGAATAATCATACCCCTGTGAAACTGAAGCACTTCACCTACACTGAAGACAGGGACAAAATCATCGTCAACGATATGACAAACATTGCAATCCCTCAACAGTGCGAGTACTCATTTCAGTACGACGAGTCCACTCTACTCCAGAGTGAACTGATCACCATCTTAGACATCCTAAACACACGCAGAGAATGGGATGTTGTTACTGTACGTGGAAAGATATTGAATGTGAAGGATCAACGTCAAGTGGGAAGTCCTCGCAAGCGACTTAAATTGATGGAGGCAGTACTTGGCGACGTCAGTGCTACAATTCCTCTAGATCTTTGGGAATCGCAAATTGACAAAGTACAACAAGGTAAGTTGATAAAAGTTTATATTTAATAACCAGTTTCCAAACGTAGTTTCCGTTATGTGTTTTTCTTAATTCAAATAATTTTTTGTACGCACAATGTTTAAGTTCGCCGCTCAAATAAATATTAGGTGTAAAGAACGTATGCCGTCGATATTTGAGGAATAATACTTTTACCCCGATTCTCGTTTGAGTGACTGCCCCTTTAAAAAACTCACACCTGCCCCCTTTATGTAAAATTATTATCGTAGAGAGCGCACAACATGGACTGACCTGTGACTGTTTCCGTCATTTTTGTAATTTGAATTTTGTTACTTGTATTATCCAGTTCTTCTTTTTCCGAACAACTGTAGTACCAAGACGAAACTTTCTTGAGCGACTGTATATGAATCAAAGGTAATTTTAAGTAAGATTCCTTGACTGCATCTGCATCAACGCCTTTTCAACAAGTTTTTCTTCTTTTTGCAGGTTTGGTGTATACACTTACCAATTTACAAGTTAGAGTTTGGTCAGGAAAAAAGAAGCTATCGACGACGACACGTACAGTTGTTCAACCATTTGATGACCCTGTATTGTGCCAAATTCCCATTAACAGCACAGATACAGAAACAGAAGAAACGTTGCAGGTCGGTGATTTACATTCAGTGCAGAAGATTGAGAAGCATTTTAAGTGTAAACACTGCAACAAGAAAATCCTCCAAGGCACTTGTACAGATGTTATCCAATGTGAACGTTGCAGCTTCATTATGAGAACGACCACATGTGAGAAGAGTGTCACTGCAAAAGTTGTTGTACTTCGTAATGACCAACAGCTGTCTTTGAAGATAGATGACGTTGTACTAACGAAGATATTTGGAGATGTAATATCTATTGATGACAACACCTTGGCAGAGAAATTACTCTTTCTTGAGAACTTTGCTGTCACATATAACACTGACACTTTACTTGTTTCAGATATTAACATATAAATACGTTGTATTTACGCATTAGATTGTTTGAACACACGCTAGCTGGCCTTGCAATTTCATTCATATTGTAAAATATTGTACATAAATGCTGTTTCGCTGACCTAGCAAACTTAGCTAACTTTTGTTCCAGTACTTTTACTTTTTAAAAATAGCAACACTAACAAGCTATAACTACCTCTTGTATTTGATTTTCATTTACTTGTAAATGATTTCTGTTTACACATCTATTGTACTCTTTTGTTTTCAATGGTTCTTCATCAAGTCATATATAAGTAAGTTGCTTTGAACTGATTTTTCGATTACATGGCCGATTACATTTGTGAGCTAAGTTACGCTACGTCTACAAGAATAAATGCTGTTGGAACCAAAGTTCAGTTTGCCTTTTCTATACCAGTTATAGTGGTTTGACCCCGGATCTCAAGAGAACTGACGTCTCTTTCCCGCAAGCGAGTTGCAATTGAGTCTAGTTTCCCCTAGCTAATTGAGAGTTACAGCGCGGAGTTCCCGTTCGGTGTTCAAATCGTTCGAAAGTGGAAAAACCTCCCGCCACATATAAGACCAAAAGACTCAATAACCAGAAGACTTCAGATCTAAAGGCACATCAGTAACATTTCGTTTTCATTATTATTTACTAGCAAAAAAACATCATACATTATTAAGACAATGCTGATAAAAAATAAAAAAAACAGCACAATCCCACTTCTTTTTTCCTGCATATATGTATTTGCAAGATACAGAAAACGATTGCATATAAGTACTACTTTTTGGTGCCGTAAGTGCTCAAAGCCGTTTATCTATATAACAGATTGGGTAGATAACTAATAAATTTTATTCGTCACTGCAAAACTTACGTAATCACAGCAAGTGTAAGCGCTAAATCTTAAACAAGGAAATTGTTCTACTGACTGTCGCTTCCGAAAAAGTGTCAACAAACCAATCAAAATTTACAACAAGAGAGATAAACCCATTTTTTATTACATGTTTCGTAGTGGGATGGTATGTGACAGGTTATGTTTACGCTTTTCACCGTAGTCATGGCAAGTAACCAGAGTTGGGACTATAATGGCAAACTAAAAAAATGCCAGTCACACTTACCATACCGTTTACTGTGCTAAACTTGCCACTTAGTTAACTTTCTCCATAATGTAATGTGATGTGAACCAGTATCACTAAATAAATGACCGGTTTATAGTTTAAGACCAAAATGCTTGTAAATATACGAACTTATCTTTCAAAGATACTGATCTTCCTTCTACCTTTACTCTAAATTCACTGTGAAAGGGGACAGATTCTTATCCTACTAACTGTCGCCGTACATTAAAACCGTTCAACAACACTAGTTTATTGTTAGATGTAAGATGTGACGTTTGCCTGTTTTGTGATACACCCGCGAAAACTTCAGCCTTCTAAAAAGTAAACTCTAATGCATTTCCAATGCCATTGTCTATACAACTACGTGAATGGGGGGTGAACAACGCAGTAATCCGGCCATGTTTTTCCAAGGACATTTTTATTAACAAAGTAATCTTGTACGAAGGAGAAACAAGAAACTATTCTACCCGATTAAATTCTATATCTGCTTAACAAAACGTTTCACTTATCTTTGAAAAGTATACCTAAATACTCTAAATTCACTGTGAAAGGGGACAGATTCTTATCCTACCAACTGTCGCCATACAATTAAAACCGTTCAACAACACTAGTTAATTGTTAAATGTAAGATGTGACGTTTGCCTGTTTTGTTATACACCCGCGAAAACTTCAGCCTTCTAAAAAGTAAACTCTAATGCATTTCCAATGCCATTGTCTATACAACTACATGAATGGGGGGTGAACAACGCAGTAATCCGGCCATGTTTTTCCAAGGCCATTTTTATTAACAAAGTAAGCTTGTACGAAGGAGAAACAAGAAACCATTCTACCCGATTAAATTCTGTATCTGCTTAACAAAACGTTTCACTTATCTTTGAAAAATATATCTTCTAGCATTACTCTTTTAACCTTGCATTTGCTTAAAGGGACGAGATTCCTATCGTAAAAAATGTTGCATTTAATCTATTGTAATCTACCTTGTAAAATCATAGACCAATCAGAAATTTTAGAAAGCACGTGCCCATTTTCTGGGAGGTACGCAAAAATAAAACATATGCAGATTACAGTACAAATTCTTGGCAGTCGAATCTTGCAGATTTACGTAGTAAGATGTCGACCCCTACATTGCCAAACTCTACTAAGAATCCTACAACGTCGAAATCTATTCCTCGTACAACGCAAAAATCCACTCCTAAATCCTCAAAATCTACGCCAACAGAGCAAGCTGCTGGACCTAATACTTCGACACTGAAGCCTACTTTACCATCGCCAAAATCTACTCCACCATCTACTCCTGCATCGCTAAAAACTACGACAACAGACCTAGCTGCTGGACCTAATGCTTCGGAAAAGGCTACTCCACCGGCAGCGCCAAGTCCTATTCCAGAAACGGCAAAGTCTCCTCCAACGCCGTTGCAATCTCAAACCACTTCGAAAAGGCTTCTTTTCAAAAAGAAAAGCGATTCATCAAATGATGGCTTCAACGCTAAAGTTTTAATCTTGGAAGAAACACTGATAGGGTACGTCCACAATCTATCACACCCAAGACGCAATAGAGGGAACACTATGAATTACTGCACCTTTGTTCTGCAGACTTCAGCCCAAGAGACACAAGAAGCGCTACTCTATTCCACGCACAAGAGACCACTATTACTAGAGAGTCAGAATAATCATACCCCTGTGAAACTGAAGCACTTCACCTACACTGAAGACAGGGACAAAATCATCGTCAACGATATGACAAACATTGCCATCCCTCAACAATGCGAGTACTCATTTCAGTACAACGAGTCCACTCTACTCCAGAGTGAACCGATCACCATCTTAGACATCCTAAACACACGCCGAGAATGGGATGTAGTTACTGTACGTGGAAAGATATTGAATGTGAAGGATCAACGTCAAGTGGGAAGTCCTCGCAAGCGACTTAATTTGATGGAGGCAGTACTTGGCGACGTCAGTGCTACTATTCCTCTAGATCTTTGGGAATCGCAAATTGACAAAGTACAACAAGGTAAGTTGATAAAAGTTTATATTTAATAACCAGTTTCCAAACGTAGTTTCCGTTATGTGTTTTTCTTAATTCAAATAATTTTTTGTGCGCACAATATTTAAGTTCGCCGCTCAAATAAATATTAGGTGTCAAGAACGTATGCCGTCGATATTTGAGGAATAATACTTTTACCCCGATTTTCGTTTGAGTGACTGTCCCTTTAAAAAACTCACACCTGCACGCTTTCATGTAAAATTATTATCGTAGAGAGCACACAACATGGACTGACCTGTGACTATTTCCCTCATTTTTGTAATTTGAATTTTGTTACTTGTATTATCCAGTTCTTCTTTTTGCGAACAACTGTAGTACCAAGACGAAACTTTCTTGAGCGACTGTACATGAATCAAAGGTAATTTTAAGTAAGATTCCTTGACTGCGTCTGCATCAACGCCTTTTCAACAACTTTTTCTTCTTTTTACAGGGTTGGTGTATACACTTACCAATTTACAAGTTAGAGTATGGTCAGGAAAAAAGAAGCTATCGACGACGACACGTACAGTTGTTCATCCATGTGATGACCCTGCATTGTGCCAAATTCCCATGAACAGCACAGATACAGAAACAGAAGAAACGTTGCAGGTCGGTGATTTACATTCAGTGCAGAAGATTGAGAAGCATTTTAAGTGTAAACACTGCAACAAGAAAATCCTCCAAGGCACTTGTACAGATGTTATCCAATGTGAACGTTGCAGCTTCATTATGAGAACGACCACATGTGAGAAGAGTGTCACTGCAAAAGTTGTTGTACTTCGTAATGACCAACAGCTGTCTTTGAAGATAGATGACGTTGTACTAACGAAGATATTTGGAGATGTAATATCTATTGATGACAACACCTTGGCAGAGAAATTACTCTTTCTTGAGAACTTTGCTGTCACATATAACACTGACACTTTACTTGTTTCAGATATTAACATATAAATACGTTGTATTTACGCATTAGATCTTTGGAGATGTAACATCTATCAAAGAAAACAATTTTATCAGGTATTATCCTTTGTTAGAAAACTGATCAGTTTATTACGAGGGTTATATCTCTTTTTTAGAAACAATGCCAATATCACAATGCAAGAGTTCTTTGCTGCAATAGTAGATTGAAAGCAGTAGAGACTTTTTTACAAACGTCATTTTATTCGGCGTATTTTCTGTTCTTCCGCTAGAGTGAATACGACGCGTTTGACTCGCAAGCTAACGAAGATAGTCGTTCAAATAATGAGCTTGATTCATTTTATGCCTTAAAGGTCTGCATACGAGTGATAAACTATGAATCCATTCCAAGAAATACTATCAAACGTAGAATAGCTTACAAATGTTGTTTTTACTGATGACTACTCAGAAATCAACAATATTTTCTTCAGGTCCAGTAACGCCAGCCGTTGTTTTGCATGTTTTCGATGACAAATTTACGACATAATCAAACGAATCAAAATAATATTGCCAGTGAACTTGTGATAATTTTGTTTTGGTCATTACAGTTTTCTATGTTTTTTTTTCACAGTTTCGTTAAATGTTGAATTATTATTAATAGTAGTACTATAGTAACAAGTATTAAGGTGGATTCTTCATTACAGGTTCACTGTTGATATTCTAACCTAGAACAAAAAAGATCATTCTGCGGATACTAGAGGACAATGCAGGTGTAAAAATATTGCTACAGGAAGTAATAAATCAAAACAGTATTAGCGATCAATTACTATTTGTAATTTTAGTTACCGTTCTATATGTTTTACACAGTATTTTTATAATAATTGTTTTTAAAGTAGTATACGAAATCGTAGGTCTCATTAAATCCAAAGTTGGACTTCTTAAACGAAAAGAAGAGACTCTAACTTAAATATTTAGAAAAAATAGTCGTGATATTACCCAAACAATATACATCTATAACTGCAATTTAAATATTGTGTTCTTTTTTTTATAAAATAAACAGTGTTGGTAAAAATCCTTTTAACATTCAGCATACAAAAAAAAACAGAATGTAAGTGCTGAAAACATCAGTATAAGTCAGGGATCTGACAGACAACAACATGCACACAATGATTACATGGATTTCAGTAAAAGCACTGGAAACAACAGTGCTGGTTTCTTGCCTTGCAAATGATCTAATGTTTAGTAGTGACCTAGTAATGGATTAAAATATTTCGCTCTCGTAACCATCTGTATAAAACAGGCCCGCCAGGTTTTAACAGGGAGAGGGATAAAAAATTTATTATTGGGAGAAAATACTGAAACTTGAACACACACACCAAAAAACATCTCTCTGGTTTAAGCTAACACAAACAGGATTCACGCAATGTTCATTTTGTTTAAATATTTTCATATATTCCTTCATATGTCTGGTTTGGAGGTCACATTCTCGATATCTCAGCTCAAAACTATATATATAAGGAATGTGTCAGATCACCTAACACATTGTTAACAGGAGCACCCAACGTCAATTTTCGGAAAAAATCTGTACGGAAAACGATTTGAGAAATAGAATTTTCGGAACATTTACTGTCAAATTTATTACTTGCCTGCTTCTCCTAACATTTTCGAAAAATGGTATAATTGCCCATTTTTAAAGAATTTTTAGCCTAAGAAGGTCACCTAAGCATGCAGATACATGTATGGAATTTTATTGAGGACAATGGTTTTTCGTTTCTCTCACGCTCCGTAGAATACGTTCTTGATAAGGAAATACCTTAGAAAAACATGGCATTATTCAACAGACGAAAAGACACATTTCATTCATATTGATATAGGCAGTGGTATACCGAAAGGCATTAAAGTTAGCTNAAAAAAAAACAGAATGTAAGTGCTGAAAACATCAGTATAAGTCAGGGATCTGACAGACAACAACATGCACACAATGATTACATGGATTTCAGTAAAAGCACTGGAAACAACAGTGCTGGTTTCTTGCCTTGCAAATGATCTAATGTTTAGTAGTGACCTAGTAATGGATTAAAATATTTCGCTCTCGTAACCATCTGTATAAAACAGGCCCGCCAGGTTTTAACAGGGAGAGGGATAAAAAATTTATTATTGGGAGAAAATACTGAAACTTGAACACACACACCAAAAAACATCTCTCTGGTTTAAGCTAACACAAACAGGATTCACGCAATGTTCATTTTGTTTAAATATTTTCATATATTCCTTCATATGTCTGGTTTGGAGGTCACATTCTCGATATCTCAGCTCAAAACTATATATATAAGGAATGTGTCAGATCACCTAACACATTGTTAACAGGAGCACCCAACGTCAATTTTCGGAAAAAATCTGTACGGAAAACGATTTGAGAAATAGAATTTTCGGAACATTTACTGTCAAATTTATTACTTGCCTGCTTCTCCTAACATTTTCGAAAAATGGTATAATTGCCCATTTTTAAAGAATTTTTAGCCTAAGAAGGTCACCTAAGCATGCAGATACATGTATGGAATTTTATTGAGGACAATGGTTTTTCGTTTCTCTCACGCTCCGTAGAATACGTTCTTGATAAGGAAATACCTTAGAAAAACATGGCATTATTCAACAGACGAAAAGACACATTTCATTCATATTGATATAGGCAGTGGTATACCGAAAGGCATTAAAGTTCACTCTTCTAAAGTCTGAATTTTTTCCGAGTATATAACAATGCGACATTTTTTACGATAAAAATCTGTCCCTTCCAAAACAAAGAGTAATGCTAGAAGAAGTATTTTCTCCAAGATAAATGCTTAATGTATTTGCAAGCACTTAGAGCATAAATTTCATAGTTTGAGTGATATTCAACGATAAACATTTATCAGTCAACGCTTACCACTCATATATGTATACATATATGCAATTACTTTGTGTAGCCATCACAACGTATCCAAGGGCGGTTTGAGATATGGAAACTAGCGTTTACCGCTTACTTCGGCCGCCATCTTTTTTATTTTTTCAAACTTTTTTCCAGTTCTCCTTGACCGTTTTGTTGTTTTTAACTCATGTAAGCTTCATTTAGAAGTGTCACGGATAAAATCAGCAAAATACTAACCCCCACCCAGACGGCAAATTTTTTGGTCACCTCAATGGACCTGGATTTAGACCGGGATACGTCAAGTTTTTATTTCCGTTGATTTAAAACTTTACAAGTTGTTATATGACCATACCGCACTTATAATCGTCTAGCTTTCAACAGCAATGGAAAACATGTCCAAAGACACAGGAAACACACCCCACATTCGACTGCAGCACTTTTCACAAGATAAAATAGCTAACTATTCCTTCATAAATTTTAAAAAAGGTCACGTCAAGTTACATTAAGTGACAACACTAGTAAACACTATCTTTCTCGCGTCACGTTAACATGCTTTGCAAAAACCCTTGAAAGACGCTTTGCGTTATTATGCTTTACTACATGTTAGCTCTTTTGTATTCTATTGGAAATAGATGACTATTATAATTTATTGCACTTTCACAATTACACTTTGTTTCAAGGGTTTCTGCAAACCACTCTAACACTGGATGACATTTTTTATAGTGCAAGGCAACAATCCATGACCACAAAGATCTATTTCAAAAATGTCTTATGTCTGTTATCATTTCAAATACACAATGTTTTCGAAAAAAATAGACAAACGTCATCAATAAATCTCCACGATAAACCTGACGATAACGTACTTGACAAAATGTGAAATTGTGAAAATCCTGTAACAAACTTCTTTGCAAACTTTGTCATTACCATTCAACCCAAAACTGTCAGTCATTTTTGCTTATTCAATCAAACTTAAAAACAAAAAACAAACCTTATACAGATCACACTAATTGACATCACAGTGTAAACACACTACTATAACACACACCGTTAGCTGTGATAACACTGAACAAACTTACGACAACCTCCTCCTTTCTCATGCATTTTGTTGCTTTTCTTCTGCATGAGTTAATTCAGAGTAAGTATTAGCCTCCACAGAGGAGGGGGAAGGGGTGCGAGAGGTTAACTTTATCAATGCAATAAAGTGTCCCACTGGGCGCCGGTAAGTTCCACGTAGTGGTTCTAGTTTTGCACGAATTTTGCACGTGCGTCACAATTTTTGGTTCGTTTTTTTGTCCTAAATATACGACTACGAAGTCAGATTAGTTCCTGTTACGACGTTTTATGGAAAACGTAAACCCAAGATATATTTTCTTTCCGAGTACTTTTTTTCCTTTGTGAGTATAATTCAATTCCAGGAGAACTCGGCAAAGTCAGAATAATGGTAATAAAGTTTAAAGGAACGTGAAATAACTTTATTATCATGCAACAGTTTTGCTGCTATCTTTCAAAATATCGATTATAAAACTCTTTGTAAATTGGAAATAATATAATT